TCATTCATCAGTTAAGACATCAGTTTGACTTACAGTTTTAGGTAGGAGAGCATTGGGGAAAAGTAGAAAGAAGCTGAATTGGAGAGTCGTAAGTGGCAGGGACTAAAAGCTTATTTATAGGTAATGTGGTATGTCATGGAAGGATGGCTCAGATGACGGCTCTGAGTCTTGGCTCCATCAACAACCCACTGTGAGACTTTAGCATCCATTACTGAAATACCATGATAATAGTACCTGCTTGCCCTAGTTAGAAATTGTGCTTGGCTAGTAGCAACAAAGCTTAACACTAATGACTTACTAATGAGAAGTCTGGAGCTATACACCCAAGGACTGACAATTTGGCAGTATAAGGTCATCAAGGGCCTTGGCTTCTCATATCAAGTACTCATCACCTCATATTTACAAGATGGCTTTTGGACCTCTTCCCGTTGTGTTCACGTCCCAAGTGAGATGGAGGGGAAGGGGCAGAAACAAACGCCGGCTGAATTAGCAGCTCTGTCCTATCATTTCAGGAGTTTTTCAGTGATGCTTGACTCAACAACTTTCATCTCATTTGCTACAACTTCACCATCAGGACACCAATACCACATCTACATAGGAGACTAGCAAATAGAGTTGTTCAGCTGAACACATGCTGCCTCTAAACAAAAGCTGGTTCTAGTAATAAGAATTAAGGGCAAATGAATATGAGATACGTAAATAGAAGTCTTTGTCACACATGACCTTTCATAGTTGAGGATGCAGAAAAAAATGCAAACTAGGCTTTAATGCTCAAGTCCTTCTGAAAATGGGAAAGTTCTGAAGGAGGGACAGACTGGGGGAAAGGCTGATCCATCGGCTTTCAGATACACTGACATTGACTTTGAGCTGAAGATGCTGCAGGTACCTGGAGCAGTTGGTAGCTCTCAGGAAAAGGATTGAGGCTAGATACTAAGATTTTCAGCTGTCTGACTAGTAAATGGGTAGACCGGAAGCTTTAATACTGTAGTGACAAAAATACAGAGATGACCTCTCTAGTTGGTTACTCCAACATAGATAGATAGATACAGATATATAGACATACATATAGATATAGACATACATATAGATATAGACATACATATAGATATGTGTGTGTATGTGTATATATATATATATATATAGAGAGAGAGAGAGAGAGAGAGAGAGAGAGGTTTTTCTTAGGATGTAATTTGCAGAAACTAGAGGGATTGTTGTGAGTCCACACACCACTAACAGCACCAGAAGATGCACTAATGTTCACTCTGGCGTGTGATTAGAGAAACATCAATCCTCTCCCTTTCTGCTAAGCCTCTAGTTGACTCAGGCCATCAAACATCTCAATGCCAAGGCCAGTGGGTACAGAAGTACAATAAATGTGCTCGTCCAAACTTCATTAGAGTCTTGTTTTTCTTTTAGCTCCGTCAGCCCTCCTGTGAGACGTGTGGTACCTCTGACTCTAAAGAGTACCCATTTTTTCTTTATTTTTCTTGACTAAGGGATTGTTTTTCTCAGGTAACTTTATATAGTAGTGAATGCCTCATATATAAGATCTAGGTTTTTTTTTGTATGTCTAGAGGGACTGGTAGAAAATAGGGAACTCCTTTAATTCTGGGTGACCCCAAGTCCTTGGGATTAAGAAGCATAGCCACCATCCAGAATGTTCTAGACAGTTTGTGTCCTCCATGTCCTTGCCAAATCTCCCATCTCTTCTCAAACCAACAGCTTATTCTATCCCTACATCTGCTCTGACTCCCTTTATCATTTCTAGGAGACCAATTTGTTGGTTTTTTCCTATGTACGTTGATAAGGAATAAAATGATGCAAGATCTAGGCTACAATGTAGGGTCATTGGGAGTTTCGGAGAAACTGGATTTAAAAGTAAGAAAAACAAGCCACCAACCAATTCTAGATTATTGGTTTGAGCAATCAAATGATTGGTGGTATCATTTACTTGGAAAGAGTGGAGAAGGTGAAGGTTTAAGAAACAGCAGGAGTTGTAATTTCAGTTCATGTTGTATAACCATGCGGTGATATTAACCATGTAATTCAATATATGTCTGGTGGCCAAGGAACTTTTATGTAGATTTGGGAGCAATCAGAAGTATAGGTTACTTAAGCTATGGGACTGTATAAATTTCAGAGGGAAAGCATTTTTATATAAAGAAGAGAGGAGGACCACACAGGAGAGTTTTCAGAGAGTTTAAGTAAAGAGAAGTTATGAAGAGGAATGTGAACCTGCCAAGGGGACTGTAAAGAGCGGGCAGTTGTGTAGGAAGAACACAGAGAATATGTGGTACTGACAAAGGCAGATGGAGACTATATTTTAAGGAGGAGTCAGTGGTCAATCATAGTATATTTGAATGAGAGAGTAAGAAAAGAATAGAGGTGAACAATGGACTTGATGATATAAATGCCAACAATGAACTAGACACACATGAGGAAATTTGTTTTTTAAAGTAGAAAACATACTTCTTTCAATTCAAATAACGTACAGAGGAAAATATCTTATTCCAAGCAAAAATATTTTGAAAAGGTCAGAGCAGATGGGATGTGCAGAATAAGTTTGATTTTGATACAAATAAAAACACTTAAGCTATAATAGAAGGATGGGAAGGAAGAGGGAATAGAGGAACTCAAGTAAGATTTATTTATTTTTCTCATACCCTGTATACCACAGATCTTAGAAGTGTGAGTAAATTTTGTTTGTACTGCCATTATCATTTCTAACAATTTAATTTTGTTTTTCCTTCAAAACCCTCAACTCTTCTGTGGAATGCATCATCAGAATCTTTCATGTTGCTATCAACCACTAAATATACAGTTATCACATTAATTCATTGAAGATTTTAGTTCCTGGATCATTTTATTCCTTCCCATAATAACTCCTGACATGGTGATTGGTAACTGATTGAATTATACCAATGACTCATTAAACATGTTGATCTTTCACTTTCTTGGTCTTTTTGACTCCGGTGATCTGTTCTTCTGCCTTGATTTAGTCATAGGTTTTTTGGGGTTTTTGTTTGTTTGTTTGTTTGTTTTTTTATTTGACACAGAGAGAGAGAGATCACAAGTAAGCAGAGCAGCAGGCAGAGAGAGAGGGGGAAGCAGGCTCCCCACTGAGCAGAGAGCCCGATGCAGGGCTCGATTCCAGGACCCTGGAATCATGACCTGAGCCGAAGGCCGGGGCTTACCCCACTGAGCCACCCAGGCACCCCAGATTTAGTCATAGGTTTTTAAAAACATACTCTTGACTTGTCAGTCATCAAACTTATGCTACTACTGAAAATTTACCTCAAGGATCTCATTCCCTGTCTACCACTTCTCACTCCAGCAATTCTGCAACCTGATGCTATCAGAATCTTCTCAATATCAGTCTATTTCCCCTTATTTCCTTAACTCTTCCTTATGAACTTCTATACCATGGGCCTTCATTATTATCACTCCTGTGTACATGCCCCTATCATCTGTATCCCCCTCTTTCCATTGTCCATGACTAGTCAAATCCAACCCTATGCTCTTTGTGCACCTTCAAACACATGTATGACAACAGAACAAGACAGATAGGCAGCATGACTGGTCTCACATTGAACTGATGAACATAAAATGCAAATTGGCAATTCACAATGCTTAGCCATCCCATTATACATCCCTTAGTCTGTGTACGTGTGTATATTTATATATATATATTTCTGTCCCTTCTAATAAATGACTTCTCCCTCCTTCTCAAAATGTCTTCTCTTCTTTGCTCCCTCAGCTGATAATCTTATTTCATATGCCATCAAGATAGTAGAAACATCAGAAAATAAGTTCCTAATACTCTCATCACCTAAACACCTATTGCTGGACAAAGACAGTATTTGTTGGTTTATGGTTAATTTTCTCATATTTTCTGATCCCTCCTCTTTCCTTTCTATGTTTGCTGTGTCTAGAATTTTATAATACAGCAGACTAGAAGTAGATGATTCTATTTAATAATGGTAGTTGGAGAACTAGGGAAACATAAAATACATTCTTAAATTGGGTATGTGTTTGCTTATCTGTTCTTTTGTTTGTTTTTAAATAAGATTTCTTCACTCAACTAGAACCACTGGGGGTGAGGGTGTGGTGTTTTGAAATAGTCATTAATTGGAGGTGGATGAATTTTGGGAATGGAACAAATAACAGCATAATGGAGTTAGAATATAGGTGGAACAGTCATTTTTTCACTAGTATTTGGATAGCAGATATTTTGAGAAAATGCTTCTCTACACCAAAATATTCATGTAATTTTAGGGGCTCTACCTTGAAACATATTTATGGAATCTCAGTCAAGATCCTGAATGAGAGATTTTTTTTTTTAAAGATTTTATTTATTTATTTGACAGGGACAGATCACAAGTAGGCAGAGAGGCAGGCAGAGAGAGAGAGAGGGAAGCAGGCTCCCCGCTGAGCGGAGAGCCCGACGCGGGACTCGATCCCAGGACCCTGAGATCATGACCTGAGCCGAAGGCAGCGGCTTAACCCACTGAGCCACCCAGGCGCCCCTGAATGAGAGATTTTTTAAAAGTTAGGGGGATTAAGATCAGGCTGGTGTTGTCAAGACAAAAGATGTTGCTGTGTGTATGTGATGGGCAAGATGCCTATATCTGTTTCATTTTAGCAGGACCTATGAACGTGACAAGGGCTACTAAATCTATTGTAAATGATTTTGCAGTCAAAATAATAATAAAATAAATTTGAAGTTTATCAGTTCAACAATCCACTGTGAAGATAACTATACTAGGGTGTTTATTTTTTACTGACAGAAAAGCAAAAAGTTTACTGACAAGCAGTTATGAACCAAGTATAACATTGGTGAAATTTTAAACTAAGCATGTATTTATGTTACTAATATGACAGATTGTGGAATCAGCAGGATTTGGTGGTTGGCTATGCAATTAATGAAATAAATTTAGCAAACTGTAATCAAACAAATATTGAAGGTTTTATTTTTCTTTCTTTTTTTAATGTTCAATTAGGTATTCAATTGACAGAAACACAGACTTGGAGAGATACTTTAATATTGATGCCAACAGTGGAGTTATTACAACTGCCAAATCTTTGGATCGAGAGACAAATGCTGTTCATAATATCACAGTTCTCGCAATGGAGAGCCGTAAGTTGTAAGGTTGAACATTAAATTACTATGGAGGACATTGAGAGTACAGAATGGACTGTCATGAGGTGGTAATTTCCGCTTGAGTCCTATTACATGCCTATCTGAATTGATCAAAATCTTGAAAATCTCTAATTTCAAGCTGTGAAATATATTTATATTCCTTAACTTTACTTGCTAATACTCACAAAGTTAATGAAAAGAGATTGCTATAAAATAACAGGCCTGAGTTACCTTCAGGGAGCTTCCTATTGTTTCATAGTTTTATTCATAAGCTGCATTTATGCTGGTATAGAGTTAGTCCAGTAGCTTACAAAAAGTAATAACTTGATCCCTAACCAATACACACATATATGCATATTGATATTGAACTAATTTTAGCCCCTGATAAGAAAAATATTGAAAGAGGGATGCATAATGGTATGTTATGCATATTATCTCTATATATAGTATATGTGCACGGATAATATGTATATATGTGTATAGTCATACACATTTGTACTCTAGCCTCAAAGAATATTGAAATTCATGGTTTATTAGTCCTCTTTTCAATGATTTTCTCATCAGGGACTCAAATAAAGACACACATGTACTATACATACGTATGATGTTTGGATCAAATTCTCTGTTGCTCCCTTTGAAGTCTTTAGCGTTATGTTTCTAGATTTCATTTATGGTTTGGTCATTTTCTTATTAGAATCATGATTTAGAGAGGCAAACCATTTTGGCTGAGTCTAATTGTTTTTAATAGCAGTTGCTTGAGGAAGATGGCAATGGAATAATAGCTTTACTCTCAGAGTAAATAATAAGACAAATTTTCCTCTTTATTAGAGAATCCATCTCAAGTCGGAAGAGGCTATGTGGCCATTACTATACTTGACATCAATGACAACGCCCCCGAATTTGCTATGAACTACGAGACCACTGTGTGTGAAAATGCCCAGCCAGGGCAGGTAAGAGCTTTCCGCACACCAGGCTCCTAGCTTGGGATTTCTTTAAAAATATCCAGCAGCAGTTACCTTTGAAATTCTGCCAGCTTTAAGATAAAATGTAATCAGCACATCTCAGCAAAACTAACACTTTGATGTGTAGCATAAACTAATATTGAAGGAACTTTAAATTTCTGGTTTAATTGGGATGATGAAATTTCTCAGGAAGAACGGGAAACATTGTGAAAGCCGTGGTAAACGGTGGAGGGCTTTGACTCCTTTAAGGAAAAATCTAGCATATGATGCTTGATTGGACTGCCCCCCGTTTTACACAGCAGGACTTATGTACCTTGAACTTCTAAGAACTAAATATGGTTTAATCTTGGTGTGGCTTGTTCTACTCATCCATTTTGTTTGGTGTTTTGTGGCATGTACTGGGCTGGTACAGCTTATTTCTCAGGTTCACAAAAGTAAATGCAAATGTGAAATTTCAAAGGGACATGATTGGTTTTTCAGAGCCCTTTTTAGATTGGGTTCATATTAATACATCTTGTTCTTCCCCCAAGGAAGATGGTATTTGTTATAAGGTATAAAATTGCTCTGTCCTGTCACACAAAACAGCAGGGCACAGCAACATGCTTTCATGCTTTTTAATTCTCCATCCTAGGTTATCCAGAAGATCAGTGCTGTGGATAAAGATGAGCCATCCAATGGACACCAGTTTTATTTCAGCTTGACAACTGATGCAACAAATAACCACAACTTTTCATTGAAAGATAACAAAGGTAAGGTATTATTATTACCACCAGTGGAGGCAGCAGGTACAGACTCTCTAAGCAACAACTTTTTCTTGCTCAGGAATGCTGATTATGGACACACACACACACACACACACACACACACACACTAGCAAGGACATTAATTAAAGGGCAATGAGCCCCTCAAGGAATTTTTATCTATGGATTTGCTGTCATGAAAAAGCAGCTGCTAGTTAAATCATTTCAGGCCTAAATCCAAATAGGGGAGAAGCCAGATCCATCTCTCTCTGACTTTTCTTCTAGACCTCTGAGAGCCAAATAAATTTGTTAATAAGACTGTACTACATAGGTATAACTTGACACATTAGGAAAATAATTGGTATTTCCTGTTTGATATCAACCCAAATCAACTTTGACTTAATATTTTCAATAGTAGCATCAGTTATACTTTTATTTTTAACAAAAAATAGAAGTAATCCATGCAAATAATTAAAAGATATATTCCTGATGCAAGGAAGTAAAAAAAAAAGAACAAAAGAATTTCCTGTCACCCTAAATTCATTTCTCTGCTTCAAAAGTAAATTCTCTTATCAGTTCCCTAAGTGTCATTATAGAAACATTTTTACAAATACCTGTAAGTATATTCTGGTTTTGCTTTATATATATATATATATATATATATATATATATATATATACACACATACACACATATTTATTGATATATGTATATATATATCAATATAGGCAACACATGGATAATTATAAGAACTTTTAAAGTAGGAGAACCTGCTGTTCTGTAATTTTTAACTTATATATTCAGAGGTGTTTTCATTCGAGGTATTTATTTTAACAAAAGGGCATTTGCAAGTGAAAAATATACAGAAAGAGGAGTATTCCCCAACAATACAGAAAATGTAATTCATTTGGGTTGAATATGTGAATCAGGTTTCAGGAAAAAAGAAAACCTGTAGAAATACATTTTCTAGTCAAACACTGGCTCATCTAAAAAGACTTATTCAGAAGGTGGATATTCTAAGTGCTTTTTGCCTGAGAAGCTGCCATCTTCTTTAGTGCAGAAAATCCAACTTTGACCTCAAAAATTCAATCTGAAAATAATAGTTTTCTTGACCCCACTCTCTGCTTAAATGAGAATACTATCGTGTCCCTTTAGTAATATAAAAGGAAGAACATTCTCTATGTGGGTAATCCCAGACTCTTTGACTTAATCATATTTGGGACAATTCTCAGCACTTTGATTCATCCAGCACAAGTGTAGAGAGGGGATTTTATGACCTTGCCAAGAAGAGTCTGAATATTTCCCCCATGTGTCATCCTATCCAGTACCACCACGATTGTTGGACAGCACATGCACTAAAATGTGTGCATTTATGGGACATCCCCACTGCTGCACAATTGAAAGATTTCCCTAAGTCAAGACCAGAGCTCCCTAGCATGTACCTTGGAGGAAAACATGTAGGAAGAAAGAGAAGATCAGTTCTTATATCGGCTTCCATGCTAGGAACTGCGTAAAGAACATGATGAATTTTATGATCTCCTTCCCGAACATAGGGCTTTCTTTCACATATTGGGCATTTAGGCACATGTTCCACAATCCAGTGTGTGTGTGTGTGTGTGTGTGTGTGTGTGTGTGTGTGGACATGCATGAGTGCTATTTGAAACCAATCATGTTAGATTACAATTCAACAGCTCTGAAAAACTTTGTGTATCAAAACATGAATACATGTATCTTAATGATTGGGAGGCAAAGAAATAGATGTGTGTATTACTATTAAGTGTATAGAAACAGACTGAAAACAATATTCTCCAACAACTCCCTGTGTAGATTTTTAATGAACACCACAACTTCATGTCTTAAAAGATTTGTTTACAGAAAAACTTACCAGATGGAACCTGAAAATCAACAGTTTTATTCTTGCCACTTCTATAAGTGAAGGTTATATGTTTTCTCCAGGGTCCTGTGAACTTCCTGTTTTGTGCTCTTTAGATCAGGTACATTTCAGTTTGCTCTTTCATTGGAGCATTGTTAAGTCTTTTACGATAAACATTGGATAAATATCTTTCTTGTAGCTTGGAAAGGAGGCACATATTAAAGTACACTAGATGAAACTATGATCCTATTTTCCTTCTTCATGTTTTAATTGCTGTAAATTTAAAGGATCACATAAATTCTCTGATTAATTAAGATGTAGCTGGGTAAATTGCTAGTAGAAAAAAAAATTATTTCTGGTATAGAAATCAGAGTTATGTGATACAGACTTACTGATCACTGATAAAGGTTTCATAATTAAATGTTAGGTAAAATAGAATATTGAATATAAATTAAACACAAATGACCTATTTTATCACTGACAAAATGTTTATATACATGGGGTGTGGGTAACAATATATACCAATATGGACTTTTAAAAAACTACACAATAATTCCTTTCCTGATTATCTATGTATACTTCATTCAGGTAAAGCTGGATTATGTTATTTTACTTATTTCTTTATTGGGTTTGGAACTTGTCAAGGAGGGAGGGGATGGATTGGGATTTTTTATTTTTGCTATCTGATGATGCTGCAAAAGTATTTATCCTTTTAATTTGAATCATCCTCTTTGTAAGAGTATGATTTGAAATTTAGGAGAAAAGTAATGTGTGATTTTTACTAAGTTGCAGTTAAGTGATGAATAAAAATTTTCATATTCAGACTCTTGCCAAGTCTGATCTCATATTCAGTTTTATTTGATATCTGTTTCCTTTGGTCATAACTGTGTAGCATGATGTAAATACATTAAAATGTATTAAAATTAACGAGTACTGTGTAGTAGAGCTCTCTGACAAGACACTTAACAAAATGATTTAAATCACATCAATTAGTGTGTGTGTGTGTGTGTGTGTGTGTGTGTGTGTGTTTCTTCTAGAAGTTTCTAATCCCTTTCACCTATTTTGCCCAGCTCCCCACCCCCTTAAATCAGGTAAGTTTGGCAGGACTGAGTCCATCAGAAATCTTGTGTTACACATTTATTTTCTCTATCTTAGACAATACAGCTTCCATTCTCACCAGGAGAAATGGCTTCCGGAGACAGGAACAGTCTGTTTACTATCTGCCGATCTCCATCGTGGACAGTGGATCGCCGTCCCTCAGCAGCACCAACACTCTCACCATCCGCGTCTGCGACTGTGATGCCGATGGGATCGCTCAGACCTGCAATGCGGAGGCCTACGTTCTACCCGCCGGCCTCAGCACAGGAGCCCTGATTGCCATACTCGCCTGTGTCTTGACATTACTGGGTAGGTACTGTTTCCAGTGTTTGCGCTGTAAGAGCAATCACATCAACCATACATCATGACCTTCTCTTTTCTTTTGCCGATAGTACCTTTTTGAGAACATGTGCGAGTGTTCTGTTCAATGGTGTTTCCTTCAATGAGCAACCCATGTTCCTTGGCCACACGTTCCAATGGTATATTTAAAATACAAGTCGGAAAAAATAATCAATTCCATTTTTAAAACAACAGTGAAGATAAGTGACTGTTTAAATTTGATTTTTTTTTCAAATTTACCATGTCACAGCTATTTGTGTTAAAATACCCTACAAAGGAGATATATTAGACCAGGATCTTTTCTATGTTGTTTTGATAATGTGATTACTTCAGAAAATATAGCTTTATATCCTATCTCTTTTCAGAAAAGATTTAAGGTAGATTTTTAAATTATTCACAAATTTGAAAAGATTGTAATTTTAGGAATGTAAGTTATAATTTCCCAAGAATTAACATATTTAATTATATTCTCCATGATTACTTTATTGCATGGGTAAATAAGATTTATAACTTATATTAGAATTAGTTTTATAGGAGATTATGCAGTACCCTTTTAAAAATTGGGAGACATCCAACACGGGCATTGGGTAATGGATTTATGGTTTATTCCTTAGCTACATTGTCTTTCAGAGTAGAACTTCTTACATCAAGGACAACAAGCGTTTAGTATTACATATGAGACCATATTGTGTGTTTTCTTAGGGTCTAATATAATTTGTGAACCCATTTATAACATATTTTTGTAAAAGCTGAATTTGGCAATGTGAGTCATCATTGGGTAATGTTTAAAAACAAGTTTTATGAAGTTAAGTAAACCTAACTTTCATTACTGCTCCTAACATACACTAGCTTTTCACCAGGGGAACATTATAAAGCTGGCTACTTAATCTAGAAGGGGAAAATAATCGAACTAGACTGTAAGGTTGTTGTAAAAGTTAAATGAGATAATCATGTGCCTACCATATAGCAGACATGCAGTAACTTTTAAGTGTTCTTGATGAAGTGAATTCTCAACCTATTAACCAAGCTAAGACCTAGTGACTAATGTCCTGTAAATGAACCCTACAAATGGAAATGACTGACTTCAATAACCAGCTAAACACATAAATCTGGGAAGGAAAAAACTTTTTTTTTTTTTCTAATACCTTCACACAGGTGGCAGAAAGTCTCAAACTCATTAGAACTGGTAAGTAATTCTCAGTTAAAGCCTGATAAGAATAGAATACAAAAGACCGGAGTAAGTTTTTGAAAAAGATGGAACCATTGCAAAGGCAGATGGTGTATGAATGACTTTTTGAACTTAACCTGGCCAGTTATCACAGACAATTTAGATTACGGAGTACTTCCAATGAGTAATATAAAATTGAATTCCTCACAATTTAATCATACCCAACAATTAATTACCTTTGATTGCTTTTAAAGTTGTCTATCTAATGAAGCCTACTTCATTGTTAGAACATACTTTTACCATTGACCTAAGGATTCCTTGCAAGTTAGGTTGCTTGTTGGTTCTAATTAAGAATCATTACCTAGCTGTCCCTGAAAATAAGTAAAATAGAGTCTTATAGATTCCATTCTTACATATGATATGTAAGAATATGTGATAGTGTGTGTGTATGTGTGTATGTACACATTTGCCTCAGAGTATGATCATAGGTTTTTGTGGATTTCATCAAAATTTAGTTATATTTGAGCATTTTCCTCTAACAGATATCAGATTAGGAATATCTCTTCCACTTCTTAGGATAAGGTGTTTATGTCTTATATTTTATTCATTTTTAAAAGTTTCTCCAAGTCTGCAAAAACATAAGTCAAAACAGAGCCTATCGTGCTGAAATTCATTTGTGAACTGGTGGCTTTCATTTCTCAGTGAGGACTTGGCTCAGTAATCAGTATGTTTCTGTTTAGAATAGAGTCTTCTTATGCCGTATTTCCTGAGTCTTTAGAAACAGAGGATCAGGACTTTGCATTTTCCTTAGGTTCTGTCTCTTCAATTACAGACTCTGGGTTTTCACACAACATGTGCCAAAACCAGCATGACTGAGTATTTGGGTGGGGGTGGTTGGGTGGGAGACACAGCCTCGCATGGATCATGATTTCTAGTGTACACATGAATCATACTTTATACCTTAAGAAGTGAGGTGGATTTTATTCCAAGACACTAGATAACAAGATTTGTAACTCAACCTTTTTAGGCTTTTAAATAAATATTGCTAAGAAAAAGCAAGGTAGGGGTGCCTGGGTGGTTCAGTCGTTAAGCATCTGCCTTCAGCCGAAGTTGTGATCTCAGAGTCCTAGGATAGAGTCCCACATCAGGTTCTCTGCTCAGTGGGGAATCTGCTTCTCCCTCTCTTTTTCAATCTCCTCCCTGCTCACGGTCTTTGTCTCCCTCTCTCTCTCCCCCAAATGAATAAATAAAAAAAATCTTTTAAAAAAATGGTTTTTTAAAAGGGGGGGGGCAATGTAAAGGGGTGGAAATACGGAGGGACTACTTGAGAATCTAGTTCAATCTAAGGATGAAACTAGAGAAACTTGGGCTTTTAACCCCTACGAAAAGGTGCTTCCCTGTATGCCAAGTTTGTTTTCCAGTAATGTTTCAAATTAAAGCTATTTGTAAGATGAGAGAAAGGTATGCCCTGAAGTTTCCAGAATATTCATGCTGGAAGGCATCATCAAAATCAATTCTAGCCCAAACCTCTGACCTTTCAGAGGGGGAAAAGGAAGTACAACTGGGTTCAAGCATTTCAGGAATTCGTATACCAAGTTAATGGCCAGGATGCCATAAGATTCTAGGTCTCCTTATCATCAATCACTGTTTTTAGATTAAACTACAAAGAAAATACACCTTGAAAATATGTTTTTTTTCAAAATTGTTCATATGTAGTCCTTTCTCAAAATTGGAAAATCATGTTATATGAAGCTGGTCACATCAACCTCATGTTTGTTTCCTTCTAACTTTATGGATGAACCCTTTCCTGAGTTTTCTCCCATCCCAAATTTGTTCTCACCCTTTCAAATTTATTTGTATTCTCTCAATGAAAGATGATCCAAAAATGAGAACCCCAAGTTTCCTTTACTTACACTGAATACAACTTGAATGGGAGAGATTGTGGTCATATTCAGTGTTCATGATAAAGTTATCAATCCGATGAAATTATTTTGCAAGTAGAAACATTTCATCTGTATATGGCAAGATACCTTAGTATCCTAATGTTCAACTAAATATTTTGTTGGGACACCAATTTTTAAGATTTTATTTATTTATTGAAAAAGAGAGAGAATGCAAGCAAAGGGAAAGGCAGAGGGAGAGAGAGAGAATCATAAGCGGGCTTCATGCTCAGCAAAGAGCCCAACATGGGACTCCACCTTATGACTCTGATATCATGACCTGAGCAAAAATCAAGATCAGAGGCTTAACAGATTGAGCCCCCAGACTGAGCCCTACCCCAACACTAATTTTTTTCTGCATGTTTATCATAGTTGAATTCATAATTGTGAACATATATGGTTATTTTCCTACTAAGCTAAACGCACTTCCGAGAAAAACAAATCTAGGGCACCTGAGTGTGGCTCAGTTGGTTAAGTGCCTGCCTTCCACTCAAGTCATGATCTCTGGGTCCTAGACCAAGCCCCCTGTAGTCAGGCTTCCCACTAAGCAGGGAGTCTGTTTCTTTCTCTCCTTTCGTCCCTCCCCCCAGTTATTTTGCTCTCCCTCTCAAATAAATAAAATCTTAAAAAAATGTATGAATGACTAACACTAAATTATTACTTCAGTGGATTTTGAGAAATGAGCAGAAAGAATTTCAGCTGTTTTAAATGTTTCAATATTAAATATTGCACATTGATCCAGAGAACATTATAGCTGTTTTCTTTGTTAATTTCTTAGTTAGCATGTGCACACTACAATTGTCACTGAATTTACTATATTGAGTTTTGTTTTTCCATATTTAGACCTTTAGGTCCAAGTAACTGATGTCGTATAACATCCCCTCTAGCTCCCTGCTCTTTAGCCACAACTGGGATTAGTTAGACTGGCCCCGCTTCAGGTTTAATAAATCATTTGTGGAAAACACTGCTTGCTACATGGGATTCAGGTTCTTGTAGTGTGTCCAGGGTGACCAGCTTGACATTCCGCTGTCATGCATCTTTGCACTTTTCTTTTCTTTCCTGGTCCACAGAGTGCTGAATCATGTTTGCTCCTCTGTTACTGTGGCCACTCATGATTATGTTCAACAGGAAAATATTTTCCTAGTTCTGTAAGTGATAGTATTACATATATATGTATATTATATATATGTATGCTACATACATATATATATATTTACTTAGGTAATACTAAGTATACTAATACCTATTATACTAATAGGTAATACTAATACACACACACGCGCGTGCACATATACACAAACACAAGATTGATCCCCATCATAATCTATAATGATAGTCCTAGTGATATTAAAGGACAGAAGTGGCTAATTTATGGTGGCACATGTGTTCCTTTTTCAAACAGGTATAAGCTAAGTAAAAATTAATTACATTTAATAAGCTCATACTAAGTGCTAGACATTAGCTAAGTGCTTTATGAGCATGCTCTAATTTAATTCTCACAACATATTTCCAGACAGGTATTAAATAGTATTATGCCCACTTTTTATATGTGAAAACTAAATTAGAGGAAACATGCACAAAGTTATAAGTTGTCACAGCCAGGACCCAAACACAAGCGGGGCTGCCTGCTTGAATGTCCTTTATAAGGTATTTTTCCCTATGTGTTTTCTAATAGGAGAGACTTGTGTGTCTCTGGGAAATGCCTGTTGATCTGTGGGCATCACAGCCCAGGTACTGCCAAATTAGAGCTGGCAGAATCTTTGATGTGCTTTACAAAGCAGGTTGATCACTTCTTTGGCTCTGAATGTCTAATTTCCATATCCTCCAACTACTTCCAACCTTGAGAGAACACATCAAAAATT